CATAATTATGAGCCTGTACATGATTATTAAGGTAAATATTTAACATATAGGTAATGAAACTGTTTTTCAAAGTAGTTAACCGGTTAACAGGATACAGCTCCTCCGAAAGTCCTGATTCAATTGTTCTGCAGTAGCGGATTAACTTTACTGCACAATACCGTGACACGTAAACTCAGTTAATAAACAGGTAGCTCGCTTTGTGTTTACTAAGACGAGAAAATGAAACGATCGCGAAATTAAAGTCATTCGCCTTGGTCAGAGTTCGGTATCGTAGTGGACATTACTAGTACGCTTCAGTTATCATCAGGATGTGGTTTGCAGTTATGTTACATTCATTGTGTGTTATTTAAACAGTTCAGATAAAGTTATGTGACACGTGCGGACTGTTAATTTAACAATTCAAATAAAAAAATGTTACATGTTATGGTTGTCAATTTACGTTTCAAAAACAGTTATGTTACACGTGCTGGTTGTCAATTTACAGTTCAAAAACAGTTATGTTCCACGTGCTGGTTGTCAATTTACGGTTCAAAAACAGTTATGATATACGTGCTGGTTGCCAATTGACAGTTCAAAACAGTTATGTTCCACGTGCTGGTTGTCAATTTACAGTTCAAAAACAGTTATGTTATACGTGCTGGGTGTCAATTTACAGTTCAAAAAAAGTTATGTTACATGTGCTGGTGGTCAATTTACAGTTCAAAAACATTTATGTTACACGTGCTGGTGGTCAATTTACAGTTCAAAAACAGTTATGTTACACGTGCTGGTTGTCAATTTACAGTTCAAAAACAGTTATGTTACACGTGCTGGTGGTTAATTTACAGTTCAAAAACATTTATGTTACACGTGCTGGTGGTCAATTTACAGTTCAAAAACATTTATGTTACACGTGCTGATTGTCAATTTACAGTTCAAAAACAGTTATGTTACACGTGCTGGTTGCCAATTGATAGTTCAAAACAATTATGTTACACGTGCTGGTTGTCAATTTACAGTTCAAAAACAGTCATGTTACACGTGCTGGTTGTCAATTTACGGTTCAAAAACAGTTATGTTACACGTGCTGGTTGTCAATTTACAGTTCAAAAACAGTTATGTTACACGTCCTGGTTGCCAATTGATAGTTCAAAACAATTATGTTACACGCGCTGGTTGTCAATTTACAGTTCAAAAACAGTAATGTTACATGTGCTGGTTGTCAATTTACAGTTCAAAAACAGTAATGTTACATGTGCTGGTTGTCAATTTACAGTTCAAAACAGTTATGTTACACGCGCTGGTTGTCAATTTACAGTTCAAAAACAGTTATGTTACACGTGCTGATTGTCAATTTACAGTTCAAATAACACGTAATGAATGTTACTTCTACAAGATTTGGACTATTTCTTATTACTTATTGTTACTTTTTTACACATGTGTAATATTTCTACAACTAAAATCAAGCTTGTTGCACGTTCAGTGTCGTGACCATAACAGTTCTACTAAATCTATGTTATCCATCTGTTAACTGTTACAGTTCAGATTAAACAGTTGCACGTTCAGTGTCGTGACCATAACAGTTCTACTAAATATATGTTATCCGTCTATTAACTGTTAAAGTTCATATTAAATAGTTGCACGTGCT